GAAAGTACAGAAAAAAAAAAAATTTTAAAAATAAGACTCCAAATTAATGAGAGATTTTTGAATCTAATTTCCCAACGAAACGAATTGTCTAGAAGAGAAGAACTGCTGTAAAAAAAAAACGAAGTTTTTGTGTCAAATATAACAAATTAAACCATCCAAAGGCAAAGACGAACAAAGGACATTCTTCAAAACACACAATAAAAATACAAGAGAAGAACTTCTTAATTTACATATCTTCACAAAGCTTTTTTAAACAGGAATTGACTTACATTAAACAACTTTTTTGGGATTAAAATAATAAAAAAATCTTTAAAATGATGGCATGCGGGAACAAAATTTTTAAAACACAAATGTACATATTTTAACAACCCCCAGTATTTTATATTGATTGATATTGATGGGGTAACATGATAGAAAGAACAGAAAGGGGGAACATGAACGCCTATTTATTATTTTCAATTATTTATTTATTTTATTTTTAAAAATTATTTTCACACTAATTCCCTGTGTTAATTGAATGTTACCCGATACTTTTTTAAAATACATGGGTTCCCTTTTGTTCCTTTTCGGACTCGGGGCCCGGAAATTTCGTTTTTCTTTTGTTCCTTGTAAAACGTACATTTGAGGATTAAAATTTTGTATTTCACTGTTTTGATGAATTATATATCTTCAACTTTAAACATTTAAAACTATCTCGTCAAAAGAGGCCAAAATAAATAGGTTGCCATTTCCGCAGAAAATCTTCATTATGTTGTAACACTGTTTTCACCACTTAAAACTCCCGACTGCTGGTGGGTGGGACATCTTTTAAACCTTTCCGCCCCAAAAAAGGTTTCCCGAAGAAAACACAAAAAAAAATTTTTAAAACAAACATTTTTAACACACAAAAATAAAAACCATGCAAAAATACACTTTAATGTGAAAACAAAATAGAGATGACTTAAAAATTTGGCCATTCAACATTTTTTAAAAACAATTTTTTAGACACAACGGGTTGGGTCAATTCCTACGGGGTTTTAGAACCTTTCGTATTTGAATGCTACTGATCATTTTTTAAAATTTTAATGGCTACCTTATGTTACCTTCCCCTTAAATTGAATGGGATTTATTTGAAACCGGGCCACGGGGAAAAGTATTTGAAACTTTCCTAGTACGTCAATGAACAGGGTAATCAAAAACGAGCCCCGCAAAAATTTTTATTAATTTTCCATCTAGGCTTTCTTTTGGATTTTTTTTTTATTATTATAATACTAATTCTACCTTATGATCGCGTACTGATTTTTTAAAAACATACATTGCTTTAAAAAAAACGTTACTGAACAACTTTTACTGCTCTAACGTGTGAAAGTATTTTTACTACAGGGTTTAACATTATAAGGTTTCCTATCATTTTATTTTAAAGCAGAAAAAAGTTTATTGTTTTTGGGGTTTTAATCAATAATTAAACTGTTGAATTTAGTTTTTCTTACTACCCTTAATACCAGGACAAAATATGTTATGTGTAAAAAATTAATTTAAATTTTCCAAGCCTTTTCGATTTATCATCCCTTTTTATCGCCCGGAAAAAAATTCGGATATATTGTTAGGCACCGAGCCGTCCATCCGTCAGGTCGTCTGTTACCAATTTCGTGTCAGCTCTGTATCTTTTGAACCGATGGAAGGAAATTGAAACTATTTGGAATAATAATGGTCGTTATGTATTAATTTCAAATTTTCAAAAGCTTATTTACAAATGTTTTTTTTATGTGTACAATTACACAGTAAACCTCTACAAAAGAAATATGCATTAAGTGTTAAACTACATTGTCAAAAGCTTAGATATTTTGCGTGTAGCATTACCTTGTGGAACTCTATCAACCCGATATTTATCATGGCATTGTTCCTTGGTTCAATATTGGAACCGCCCCGGTGTTCATTATTCAATAAAGACTTATACTGGAAAACACATTTAAGTTTGATTGTGTGAAACTTAAATGCCCAAGGCTTAGACATTGCTTAGACATTAGACATAAATCATTGCACTGTGCACCTCTACAAAACTGATATTAATAATGACCCTTGGGCCAATATTGGTTGCGCCCCGGGGAAGTTGATTTGTAGAGACTATGTAAGAAAGATGTTTATGTCAAATTGTGTGTAACTACATGTAACATTCATTGTCATTTTGACCTTTACAAAACTGATATTAATCAGACATTAAAAGAGTCCCGGAGGTCAATTAGTTGATGATTTGTATAGGCAAACACATTTATGTTTGATTTTGTGAAAGTGCAATATCCAGAACTTAGATATTTGGCATGAAGCATTGTATTGTGGACCTCCATGAAATGTCCCTTGAGCCAATATTTGCGCCGCCCGGAGATCAATTGATATAATAGATCTTTGTAGGGAAACACATTTAAATCTTCTTGTGTGAAACTACAATGCTCAAAGTTTACATAATTGACATGTTACATTGTCTTGTTGACACTTTTACATACATGTATATTCATTCGTAATATTGTATTTTTAATGTGTCCTTATTCGCAGCACAAATTATGTAGCTTTTTAAAGAAACTTGAAAGTATGAATTCAATTAACATAAGTATAATTTAATTTATATAAAATGCGAATTGGAAGTCTTTCCTGATTTAAACATTTTTAACCGATTGAATGAATTTTACAATACAATTTTCATTGTGGAGCAATTCGTTGAACCTTCCGATATTGATAGCAAGTCATTTACCCGTAAGACTTACCAGGAAAAAAACATTAAACAAATAATGTCACTAAGATTGAAATTAGATAGCCTGGATGTGTGGAAGAAAAATATTTAGCATCCGTAGACCTTCAAAAAAGTACGTTATAAAACGGTACCCAAGGCGAAAAGAAAACTTGGTACCTTTTAGCAAGAAAACATTGGCTTCCCGGCAGGTTATTCTGTTTTTTTTATAAATTTATACAGCAAAAGGAACTAAAAAATTTTGCCGTTGATCAGCTGGATTTAAAAGACAAAAGAGTTCTTATCAGGTATGCGTGTTGTTAAATACCATTGACATAGCACGATTAATCAGTAATTATTGTGTTGACCTTCGTTATTTTGCGACCTTCACCTTTCTGGCTTTCATGCAGGCTAAGGAAGTACATGTAGTAAGCCTTGAACCTCAATGAAATATAGGGGATAAGAAGCACAGTACATAATTTAACCTTACCATTATCATTTGCTGAATTGCAAAAAAGCTCTCTCTGAATCCTTCTCTCTCTCTATTTTGATGAAAATAAAAATATCCAATAAAGACTAATTCACTTATCAATTAGAATCTATTGAATGAATGGGCTCTTGAATAAAGTATGTTGAAGACGTTGTCTATGCCGACTTTTCCAAAGAGGGGGAGAGTGTGATGTATGTTTAAGTGGAAATACCAAGGATCCCATTGATCCTGTAAGTAATTCTTAGTGTTATATTGTTTCTTATTTTTTACATATATCATTGTTAAATGTGCAAAGGATTATATGTAATGTTTTTATTTTATGTTCATTAAGGATCGAACCACAAGTACTTTCATTAAGTATCGAACCAAAGTACGAATGGACAATTTAAGTTATTCTTTGATAACATTTACCAATATATATATTGCAATGCTATTGTCATTTTAAGTAATCGTTATATATTGTTTTAGTAAATATATGCTATTAGTAATATTTTCAGGGTGATATGTATATACTCCTGTATACACATGAATAATTAATTGGAAAAATGTAAATATAAACAGTATGAGTGATCAATAAGTATGTTAGAGTTATCCTGAAAAGAAAATAAAGACTATCTGAACTCTGATGAAATTTATTGTCTTTATCATAATCATGAAAAGATTATTAAGAACCAGGGTTACACTTGTAAAACCTATTTATTCTCCCATATTTGTTCATCTTTAAATTTAAATCTTTAAATTAAATTTTCACTTTTAACAAAAATTTCAGACTCATCATACAAAGATAAAACCCACCAGATTACCTTTGTAAACAATCAATAGAACAACCTGTCTTTTGCGGGGGATTGTACTGGTTGGGGACCACCAAAACCGGACAACCACCAAACCCGGACGGCCCCGAAAATGCTTAATTTAGTATTTTCTTTGTTCAGTGGTTGTCTGTCACTTTTTTATCAACAATAAATGTATGTTTCCTCTAAAATCAAGTAAATAAATTTATTTCAACCTCCGTTAATAGTTACATTTTAATGTCTATTTCAAAAATGTTTATGTTAAAATTTGGGGGTCAAGAACAGTGATTTTTTTCCCTGTATTTTACAGCCGAATAAAGGCTGTTTCCCCTAGCTAAATATAGGTATATTTTCCCCTAAAAAAGCTAATATTTTCCCCTGTTATGCCCTGTGCACTTCACCAGAACCATTACTTAACAGCAGGGCTCCAGATAAGATGCGTATACGCGTAAATTACGCATGGAAAATAAACACTTTTTACGCATTCAAAACAAAATTAAGCGTATGAATACGCACACAAAAATCAGGTTACGCATTGAACAACATTTCTTTCGCGTAAACGTAACCGAAAGTAAACTCTGATTAATTTATTTTTTTAATTTTGTCTGAACGCTTTGCAAGCGTCTACCGGTAACTTCCTGTTAGTTCCGACCATCATCGGTTGTTTTCGTAAGTATAGTATGGTGGAGGAATTAACTTCGGTATAAATGCCTTTGCAACGTCTAACGGTAACTTCCTGTAGTTCCGACTATTTATCGGTTGTTATCGTATGTATAGTAAGGTGGTGGAATTAACGCAATTTTATAAAAACATCCCGGTACAATGTCGCTGTCAAAAGTAAACACGATTGACTCGTATTTTCAGCCGAAAAAAATCGACCTGAAAAGTAATTGTGAAGTTTATAATCAATGAAATAATTAGCGCTGCCACGTATGAGCAACAGAAAACATGTGTCAGCCTCAGATAAAACGTATGCCGTTTGGAAAGACCTGTTCCCGTGGATTGTCATAAATTCAGAAGACCCGTCACAGGTTAATCTTAAATGTTCCATTATGTATAAAATTTCAAATGAAAAATGCATTTAACTACAACTGGTTCTAGCAATATTCAAAAATCAACCGTTGAGAGACACTGCGAATCTGCGGACCACCAGACTGCTACTAAAATGTCATTGAAATTAGAAAGTTCTAAAAAAGATCCTACGCTATTAGATCAAAATTCAGAAGAGATAAAAAACTGTAAATTGTTGGATTCAGACATTTTTTTGATAAGATCGGTTTACTCTCTCATGAAAAATGAATTACCAATTGAAAAACTTGATGCAATTTTGGAACTTCAACGGTTAAATTCATTAAATATGCCATACAGAAATTTAAGCTGGACTACTATTACAGAAATTCAAAATGTAATTGCTGCTGGTTTAAAGAAAAAACTTGTTTATAAGATCAATCAGTCTGATTATTTTGCAATCTTAATAGATGAAAGTACTGATATCACTGTTTCCAAGAGACTTTCAACTTGTGTGCGATATGTAGTCCATGGTAGTGTATTATACATCATTTCTTGTAACTGCGAATTACCAGATGGTAAAGCTCATACTAATAACTTTAGCTTTAAGTAATTATCTAAAGGAATGTGATGTTTAACTTTTCAAAAATGTGTTTCACTTGCAACAGATGGTGCAAGTGTCATGATGGGTAAAAAAGGTGGTGTTGGGGTACAGATTCAAGCTAAATTTGCCCCATTTGTAATACAAACTCATTTGTATAGCACACAGATTAAATTTGGCAGTAACTGACTCTATTAAACAAATTGAACCACTTAAGAAACTGAAAGAAAAATTTGCAAACCTTTACCATTTCATATCTGCATCAGGAAATAGGACATTTGCCTTAAAACAAATGCAGGGGTTGTTAGATGAGCCCTAAGCTGTCTGTTAAAGAACCATATTCCATTCGTTGGCTGGGTCTTAAAAATGCTGTTGAAGCCGTCTATGAATCATATGGAGCCCATACTTGCAACATTGTCTAGCATGGCCGATGAAAATTCTACAGCTAAAGGTTTATACAAGTACTTTGCTTCATATAAAACGGCATTACTTTTAGCTTTCATGTGTGGACGTTCATACTATCCTGGGTGTCCTATGTTGTGAACTGCAGGCAAAGAACCTTATTTTTAGTGATGTTCCTCCCCTAATAGACAGTACTGTGGAGAAGATTGAGTCAATGAAATCAGAAGAAGGTGATGGATTAGTAGAGATGAAAAACAGCATTGTTGTGAAAGATGAAAAGGCCTTTTATAAAGGAGATGAGCTTAAATATTATAGCAAAGATATAGAATCACAGTTTTCAAATGTTAAAAATTAAATAATTATTTGGATAACTTGGCCAAAAATATTAAAAGAAGACTAAAAAAGAATGATGGTGACACTTTAATATACTTGAGTCAAGTCTTAGAACCATCAACAGTATGTCATCTTCCTGCTGACACCAGTAAAAGTGCTCTAGAATGTTTGGGAAATCAGTTTGGAGTTGAAAAAACAGTGAAACAAGTCGAAGGAGATCTGTTTATAGGTATTTCAAATTGACATTTAACTGATGTAAACTTTTTCTTATTTAAAACAATAAAAACTTAACTGATATAAACATGTTTACTTGCAAAACAACATTGTCAAAAAAATTAAACACAAAGTTGATAAATTTATTTTTAAAGAATCTGATATCTAGGTCTAGCAAAATATATTATAATGTCACTATATTGCTTCCTGGTTTATTTAAATAATAACATATTGCATTTTATATTACAGGGACAACAGAGACTGTCACTCATGTTGAGCCATTATTAGACAAAACAAAACTTGAGAAGGAGTGGAAAGGGGTTTATGGGATGGTAAAAGGCACATATAGGAACATTTCCCTCAGTGACCTGTGCCAAAGATTATGTGTGAAGCACAGTCTGACATATCCAAACATGGCTAAGTTAGCTAAAATAGCCTTATGCTTGGAGATTTCAAGCACAGAGTGTGAGCGCTCATTCAGCACTCAAAACAGACTTAAGAGTAAATTAAGGTGGGACTTTTATATTAAAGTCTATCTATCTTTATATTTTGAATTTATGCAGGTGGATCTACTCTAGTATATAATTTTGTTAGTAAACTAAGAAAAGTTTATAAGTAAATATTCTAATTATTTTAAATGCAAATGTACATGATTTTATGCATTCTTGAAAATTGTTCTTGAAGTATATATGTTGTTGTTTATTTCATTGCAGGTCATCACTCAAAGAGATTTCACTTGAATCACTGCTGAGGGTTAGCCTTTATGGAGAGCCAGTCTCAGAGTATGACCCTGTACCAGACACAAGACAGTGGTTGGTCAAGAATCGCAGAAGGAAGCGCCTGATGCAAGATTATAAACCAAGAGAGTCCAAAAAGCAAAAGAAATGACTGACATATCTTGTATTACAACTATAATAACTAATGCAGTAAACATGGAAGCATAATAAATGTTTTACTCTTTTCCATACATTTTAAGGAGTAAAAATACTCCTGCCAAATTTCAGATTTCAAGTTTTACTCATTCACAAAAAAATCAATGAGTAAATACTCATTGCCCTAAAAAATTATCTGGAGCCCTGCTTAACAGCATCTGACTTATTATATCAGCTAGAATCCCTAAAGCCTCTGCTATGTACCATGCATGATAAATTGAATTGAAATTAAAAATTTTATATAATGTGTGGGTAACTATTCCACTCTCAGTTGTTGGAATTTGATTTCCCCCTTTTCTGATTTATCGCGCTATATTTTCCCCTTCAGAAAGCCACAGGTTGTTTTGAAAATTGGAAAAAAAATCACTGAAGAAGCAATGCCTGACCTTATATACCAGCTATAATCATTTGCAGAGTGAATAATAGAATATCCAAAACTTCAGCATTTGTTGCTGACATATTGTATCATATTAAAAATCAAAACACCCAAGCTTTTATCTGAATTATATCATGTCATGTACATATCTGTCCAGACACATGGTACTGTAGTGTAGACAATTTAGGTAATTTTGATACCCTCCTTGTCAAGCCTCAGGTATAAGTGTCAATAAAATCAGAAATAAACAAACTAGTTTGTTAGTTAGGAGAAGAACCTAGCTGAACTGTGTCAAATTTTTTGGTCTCTAGGTTAAAAATTATGAAATCTGTACGGAAAAATGTTCCAAAAGTGTCCGGTTGATGGTCTCCGACCAGTAGTGTAAATAAAAAAAGCAGCAAATTTCACATTGAATATCTGTAAATTTATGGATTGAACAATCTTTAAATTTCTAGACTATCTATAAATTTACGGACAGTCCATAAATATCATGAACTCCTAGACCTGATTAAAGAAAATAGAATAAAAGATATGGCCCCTTATTCCATTTCAAACTTAGCTAGTAGATGACCCCAAATATGAAAAAGGCAAAGCCTCAAAGCGAGCTTGATTTACTTTTACCATGAAGTAGTATAATATAATAATCGTTCAATTTTATTTTGCATTTTCCATTTTAAAAGTGCCATTTGGTATTTTATGCACTGCTTCTACTTAATCCTGTTCCTTCCTATTATGGTTCCTATAAAAGTGTGCAGGACACTTGTAAACACATCCGTTTTCAATCAGAATTCCTCAGCTTCTACCGTTATCTTGTAATTAGAAAAGTTGCGATGTGTCAATTCAGTACTTCCGACAAGTTTTCAAAACCATCACTATCTAGCAGGTACTCTCATTATGGTTGAGCAGGCTTTGCAAGCAGGCGTTTCGGGCCAGCTCTTCTTGCTATAAATTTTGGCGTTGCAGGGTCAAGGTTCAAGGTCACATTGACCTTGTATGTCAATAATGTTTCCAACTAGCAATTTGACAACCTGTGGACCCTTGGCCCTAACACTTCATAGATTCATTGGCCTTGGGCAGTTGATGACCACTTTCTATTTTTGGGTTGTGGACTCTGTCAAGGTCACATTGGCCTTGTGTGCCTGCCAAACTGGTTTCTGAAATATGTTGCATGCAACTTCAGACATGCTGACAAGGGAGACATGCATGTTTTACAAACATCTCTTGTTATTTTTCATTTTCATGGATGCTTCATAAAATAGTTTAGCATAATGATCTATAAAAATGTCATTGTTTATGTTTTTTTAGCTCACCTGTCACAAAGTGACAGGGTGAGCTTTTGTGATCGCTTTTCGTCCGGCGTTCGGCCGGCCATCGTCCGTCCGTCCGTAAACTTTTGCTTTAAATGACATCTCCTCATAAACCACTGAGCCAATTTCATCCAAACTTCACAGGAATGTTCCTTTGGTGGTCACCTTTAAAAATTGTTCAAAGAATTTAATTCCATGCAGAACTCTGGTTGCCATGGCAACCGAAAGAAAAATCTTTAAATATCTTCTTTTAAACAACCCTAAGAGCTAGAGCTTAGATATTTGGCATGAATCATCTTCTTATGAGTGTCTACCAAGTTTGTTCAAATAAAAGCCCTGGGGTCAAAATTGGCCCCGCCCCAGGGGGTCATTGAGTTTCCCTATATGCATATAGTAAAAACTTAAAAAATCTTCTTTTAAAGAACCCAAAGAGCTAGAGCTAAGATATTTAGCATGAAACATGTTCTAATGGGTGTCTACCAAGTATGTTCAAATAAAAGCCCTGGGGTCAAAATTGGCCCCGCCCGGGGGGGTCATTGATTTTCCTTATGTGTATAGCAAAAACTTAAAAATCTTCTTTGAAAAAACCCAAATAGCTAGAGTTTAGATATTAAGCATGAAACATCTTTAAGTAAATATCTACAAAGTTTGTTCAAATAAAAGCCCGGGGGTTAAAACTGGCCCTGCCCTAGGGGTGTCATTGTTTTTAACTAAATGTGTATAGTAAAAACTTAAAAAATCTTCTTTTAAAAAACCCAACGAGCTAGAACTTAGATGTTTAGCATGAAACATCTTCTTATGGGTGTCTACCAAGTCTGTTCAAATAAACAAATTAAAGCCCTTGGGTAAAAATTGGCCCAGGGGGGATGTGGGGGGCTATATACAGGTGAGCGACCTCAGGGCCATGATGGCCCTCTTGTATACTTTCTACACTCTTTATATACATGTAGTAACCATGCTGTTGTTGTAAGTCAAAGGTCATGGTTCCTCTACTGTGTACTCAGCTTAGAAGGCATTTTTCTGTTTCCATTAACAGTTTCTTTATGATTTATCTCAACATTTTGAAGAATTCATTTGTGAGACTGTCTTACTCAAGTCTCAAGATCTGATTAAGAATCCACTGGTAACTTGTAATATTTCATTTACCTGTAAAGTTATATTTATTTTCAAGTCTGTTAAGTATTTGAAAAAAGAGTTTTTCTATCACAACTTCTGTATGTTACATGTAAGAGCGTATAATTTTAGAAATATACCGTTGCATTGTGACTGGGTTTTTTTTTTAATGAATTTTAATGAAGTATAAATATACAATTTTCTTTGATTTATTACATATATATTTATCATTTTTATGTTTACAGAGTTGATTTCAATGTACCTCTAAAAGAAGGGAAGATTACTAATACGCAAAGGTAAATTATAGTTTTACCCTTACCATGCTAAATATCTTATATGGGCTTGTTCATCTTTTATTCTTGACATAACCATTCTATGTCATTTTTAGGGAACATTTCTAAAATTATGCCAGGACTAGAATTTAGCACTTACAAAATAAAGAAATGCTAGCAACTTTGTGGTGATGTTGATATTTTACCCTCTGAATCATGGCAGTTAGCCATTTTAAATTCAATATAGCACATTTCAGCCACTGCGTCATTCTTAGGAAGGCAGTTAATCAGTACTAGGGGCCTTCACTTTCACAAGGAACTTTTCAACTTCTCTACATGATGCCAGAGCAAAGGTACATTGCTAATGATAGTAGAAAGGATTTTATGATCAATCACAACAAAAGTGACTTGCATTGTCTGGGCTTCAAACCCAGGCCACTGGATACACAGTTTAACACTATACATACATGTACCTAAATTGAGCTAACCAAACAGTTACATTGCTTACATGTAGTATAAACAGTTGCAATGTTATATTACCTGAGCCACTAGGTGATGGTTATATAATTGTTAACACCACTTGCCCCTCACCTCTGTGGGTTCGAATCCCAACAGGGACCTTGGATTCTTTCATGTGAGGAAGCTATCCAGCTAGCTTACGGAACGTCAGTGGTTCTACTCAGGTGCCCGTTTGTGCCTGAAATAATGCACAGAAGGCACAGAAAGGCACCTGAGGTCTTCCTCCACCAGTAAAGCTGGAACATCGCGTTATATACCTATACTGTGTTGATGTGATGTAAAACCCAAAACAAACAAACAAAATATAATTGTTAACAACCCTAGATATACATGGCCATTTAATATGTTGCAAAATCCTGTACTTGGAGGGAAAAGGAAAATTACTACATAATTTGACAGCATTCATATATAGATTATACAAATGTATAAATGTCACTATTATCTAATTAAAAGTGACATCACAAATGTGCAGTATTATAAACACAGTTTGACCATACATTTCTTTTCCATTGTGATATACATGTACAAGTATCTGGCTCCCTTTTCTAAACCATGTTAACATACATGTATATTGTTAAACTTTGTTTTATTTCAGAATTGATGCAGCTTTGCCAACCATTAAGTATGCACTGGATCAGGGAGCAAAATCAGTGGTATTGATGAGTCATTTAGGCAGACCAGATGGACGAAGACAGGATAAGTACACTATGGCACCTGTCAAACCACAACTTGATGCAAAGCTTGGAAGGTATATCAAATTTATAATCTTCTTTTAATGACTTCATACAGAGATTACATATCAAGTGCTTGATGTGACATTATCCCCATCCAAGGGTATATACTGAGTGAACAAGCGACAGTCAAAATAGTAAAAAAATCCTTTTTCAATCGCCTTAGCTATAAAACATTTTCCAGTATCAGCTGTTGGTTATTCACCATTATAACAGTCAATCTTTTGCAATATGTAACCAATTTAGGTCCACTTGACAATGAAAAAATGAGCATATTAATGTCACTGAAAGAACTGAACTTTATCAGTCTTATCTATCTTCACTTTATCAGAATTAATACACTTACACTTACTTGTATTTTAATGTGAAGGAGTTCTGTAGTTGAGTGGTAAAGGAAACTCAAGTTGAATCACTACTTACCTCCTTGCTGGTTTGAATCCCACACGGAACTGTTTGTTTGAATACCACTAGGACCTTAGAATTCTGGGAGAAATCTATTTAACTTTACAGTACTTTTTGTTAACCTCTTTGTGCCTGAAATAATGCACAGAATGGCAACTGAGGTCTTCCTCTTCCACCAGTTAAGCTGGAAGTTTCATTATAACCTTAATTGGTTGATATGAGCTAAATGCCAGCTCTTGATAGATTTTATCGTATTGAATTCTCTGAGAAAACTTTTTGCCTGAGTTCAATCCAAAACTGTGATTGATTACTTAAAGGAAGTAAACTTACATTCTAAGATTTAAGTAACTCACTTGTTTCAACCCATTTTAGGCCTACTTATTATAGTGTTCTGCGCAGTATGACCAGTAATGTGTTAATTTTGTTAAACTCAGACAAACAAAAATAAAGAAAAAAGGTTATATTCATTAAGGGATTATTACTGGGAAATATTGAAGTTTATCTTATTTCTTGTATTATACAGGAACGTGACATTTTTATCTGACTGTGTGGGGCCTGAAGTGGAAGCAGCCTGTGCTAACCCTGCACCTGGTTCCGTGATTCTGTTAGAGAATCTACGTTTTCACAGAGAGGAAGAAGGCAAAGGTGTTGATGTTAAAGGAGAGAAGGTACATGTATAAATGTATATGTGTACATTACTTTGAAATATTTCCATCTTCTTGACATACAAGGTATTCCCTTCAGTGTTTGTTCCTGTACATACAGGTTTCAGTAAAATTTTGTTTTGTTTCCCAATCCAACTACCTACCCACAAAAATCTGTGCTAATTGCAAAAAAAAATAAATAATTTTTTCCTGCTTAACATTAGAAGTACATGTATTCCGTCTTTGAGAATCACATCTTGTATCTGTTTATTATACAAACCTTGGTTCTTTAAACAAATGCTAAATATTCACACGCTTTTTGAAATCCATAATACATTTGTAATTATGTTCAATAAAAAAAAATTTCAATGGTAAAAAGTTTTCTGCCTACCCTATCCAAACTGCCAAGGGTCGCAGAAGGGGAAACTTTTAAGACTGGTTACGGTTATTTATCAAGTATAGGTTGTATTTAAATATGTTGACAACTTTTTCTAAAACAGCAGTGTTTTCCTTAAAAAATGGACTTTTTTGTGTGAGGTGGACACTAAGATAAGTTTCAAGTACGAATTCATAGAAAGGTGTTAAAATTAAACTCTCATTACTACCCTGGCACCATTTAGATTTTTAAATTATAAACTTCATCATTTAATTTAAATGTTTATTTGTCACTGAAATTGAAACAGTGTGAAGATCATAAATGTAGCTTTTTTCCTGTGCTATCAATTGGTCTTGCTATTGAAACATCAAATCAAATGTAAATTGTTCATTTTGTAGGTAAAAGCTTCTGCCGCTGATGTTGAAAAGTTCCGAGCATCTTTGTCAAAATTAGGAGATGTTTATGTCAATGATGCATTCGGCACTGCTCACAGAGCTCATAGGTAATCAATGTTTATACTTGTATATTACATATAATAATTGTATTTTTAGCTCGACTATTCGATAAGAATAAGTAGAGCTATTGCAGTCACCCGAGTGTCTGCGTCGGCGTAACCACTTATGTTAAAGTTTTTGTAATAGTTCAAATATTTTCAAAGTCCATTGACATATGGCTTTAATACTTTGCACACTTGTTCACCATCATGACCCCAACTTGTAGACAGGAGGAGGTAACTCTATCAATCATTTTGACAGAATTATGCCACTTTTTCGACTTAGAATTTACGTTAAAGTTTTTGTAATACCTCAAATATTTTCAAAGTTCATTGACATATGGCTTTGAAACTTTGCACACTTGTTCACCATCATTACCCCAACCTGTAAACAGGAGGCGGTAACTGTATCAAGCATTTTTTTTTTACTATCAAGCACTTAGAATAGTCGAGCATTGCTGTCCTACCGACAGTTCTTGTTAAAAATTTTTAGTGTAACATGAGGTTTAGTTAATACTAATTTATATTAGTTTGAATGTGTTGGAAGCTATAAGTTTATTGAAACACTCTCGAATTTGTTCCTAGAACCAACCAGTTCTAAGCTATGAGTTAAAGATTCTTGCTCACCAAAGCAACGGCTTTAAACCCACAAGGTTTATACCCACAGGATTTATTGATACTGTGAATTATTCACAATATTTTGGAAAAAAATGAAAATTTACATGTTAGGCACTGCTCCCAATGTTAGTCCTGTTTAAAGAGAGAGAGAAAATACTGTGATGTTTGGAATGCTAGCCAGCAATAATGATTTGCTTATATAAGCAGAATGATGTCAGACCTGGCAGCTTAATTTTGGCACTTTTATAACAAAAATGCCTCACTTTAACAATTGACAGTTCTGAACAAGTTTATTTTTTTGTTAATCTCAAGCATTGTAAGAATTGAATCTGAATTGACAAAACATAATGTATGAATCTTGCAAAGAATAGAAAAAGGTAATGAAACTAGCTTTCCTGTTTCAATAATTTGTTTCAGTGAACATTAGCATAAGTTAAACAACTTGAAGATTTTAAAAGTCTGTTCTTAACGTATACCAACACATGTCAAAAGTATTTAGACAACCCCAGCATTTAGTATTTGATATTTTTCAGTTCAATGGTTGGATGCCAGCTACCACAGCGGGCTTCAGGATATCTATTGAAGAAAGAATTAACATATTTCTCAAAAGCTTTAGACAACCCAACTAAACCATTCCTGGCTATACTTGGAGGGTAAGAACTGTTAATGTGACAATTTTTCCATATATTACATTGCTTTCATGTTGAATAATTTTACAAGTGGTGTTACATGTATCCGTTTAAGTGGGTTTAGTCAGTTTTTAGCCAAAAATTTGTTTGAAAATTAAATACATATGTAAATGCTAACCGGGGTTAGTATAAGACCAACATCTGAAAAAATATGAGATTGATATTAGCCAAAATATTATAACTCGTGTATGTTCATAAATCACTTTAGAACTGTATCAACATTATATCCAGAAATATTTAATTAGAATATCCAAGAGATTTATTTATACCGTTTTCATTAATATTTGAATTACGTATGGAAATGATGCCAATTTTAGACCATTCCACTTCATAATTGTTTTCATCAGTATTTAAATTACTTATGGAAAATGTGCCTTTTGTAGAGCAACCCACTTTAAACAATGACAAACCAGTGACCACCTTTATTGTAACGTGATATTTTATGTTTACAGAGCTAAGGTAGCTGATAAGATACAGTTAATTGAGAACTTGCTAGATAAAGTTACAGACATGATTATTGGTGGAGGAATGGCATTTACTTTCCTGAAAGTCCTGAATGGCATGAAGGTAAGATATGGTTCCAGGTAGCAAACTAATGTAAGAATGGTACCAGGCAACAAACTAATGTAAGAATAGAATTCAGGCACCAAACAAATGTAAGAATTGTTCATGAAAGTATGGTACTTGGCACCAAACTAATGTTAGAATTCCAAGCACCAAACTAATTTAAAAAATGGTTCCAGGCACCAAACTAACGTAAAAATGGTTCCAGGCTGCACCAAATTAATGTAAGATTGGTTCCAGTGATCAAATTTATGTAAAAAAAAGGTACCAGGTGGAAAAATGATAATAGAATGGTACCAAACATATAAGTAAATGTAATCGTAGTAGCAGGCACCAACCTAATGTAATAGTGTTACCAGGCATTAAACTAATGTTTATATGGTACCAGGCATTAAACTCATGTTATCAGGCACCAAATATGTAAGAATGGTACCAGGCACCAAACAAGTGAAATAATGGTACCAGGCAACTCACTGTTGAAAAAGGGTACCAGTGTTATTAAATAACATGACTTTTAGTCTCTTGTTTAACTTTCTAGAAAAAGTACATTCATGACATACTTACAGAGTGATGAGATTTGCAGATGTGAAATATATATATATATACATTCAACAAAATGAAGATCTGTTATTTTAATTTCAGATCGGGAATTCTTTATATGACGAAGAGGGGGCTAAAATTGTAAATAAACTCATGGAAAAAGCTGAGAAAAAGGGTGTCAAGATTTATCTTCCAGTAGATGTAGTGACTGGAGATAAGTTTGCTGAAGACGCAACTGTCGGCAGTGCTACTGTTGCCTCTGGTATTCCTGATAATTCAATGGTAAGTTATTTGTATTTTAAGAATACTTTATGAATGTGATTGTTTAATTCTTACATCATAAGGAAGACAGGTTACATGGGAACTCAGTGGCTGAGTGGTTAAAGTCAGACTTTCAAGCTCTTGCCTCTCACATCTTTGGGTTCAAATCCCACCAGGGCATTTTGATCCTTCCCTATAAGGAAGCTATCATGCTGGATCATTGAAGACTTGTGGTTTTGCCTCGGTGCCTGCTTGTGCCTGAAATTTTGAGGGGCACCTGGCATGATATTTTGTTGCAAAAAATATGTTTACTTTAAAGTGAAATATTAAAAAAAGCTAAATGCAATTGGTTGCATGCACATGGTCAAGTTAGTGTTATATACATGTTAAAAAGCTCATTTATCCTATAATTTACAGGGTCTTGACATTGGACCAGAATCTATCAAGTTATTTACAGCTGCCGTAACAACAGCAAAGACAATAGTCTGGAATGGGTATGTGATTTCAGAATATAGTATCATATCATTAGGTCAGGTGTCAATCAGGATATGTCCTTTTGTTTAATTTAACTTGAAGGCAGAGGTATTATTTTTGTTTAAAATTTAACATTATGCTGATATCCAATGTGCTAATGACTTTTGATCTGAGATAAAAAATGAGGTTATTTAACAGCAATTTTCTTATTTCTTGAACTAATTTAGGAACGAGGGAAACTTCAATGATTTTTTATTTGAT